GAGAGAGAGAGAGAGAGAGAGAGAGAGAGAGAGAGAGAGAGAGAGAATCGAATAAGGAGAAGCGATGACTTGGCAAGTGGAAGTCGATGGGCTGTGAATGGGAGTTCAATGGAGAAGCGAGTGTCAGAAGAGAGCAGTAGTGGGAGCGGCGGCGGAGGATCTGGCGCAGGTGGAGTGTACGGAGGAGGTTTCATTGATAGAGTGGTTCGCGAAAGCGTCAGTGGAGGCGGGTCCAGAGGAGGAGGAGGAGGGGGAGGAGGAGAGAGGAATCGCAATGCGGACAGGCTTCCTGCTTATGTAAAAGAGGAAGCTCATAGGAACGCAACCCCTCAACATGGGAATGAAGTAAGAGGAAGAGAGGATGTCGATGGTGTAGGGGGTGTAGGGGGTGCAGCGGGTGCAGGGGGTGGGTGGGACTCCTCTTCGGCTTCTTCTATAGGACATGGCCATGGTGATGTGCAGGAGGACGCTGTAGGTAATGCTGGCGCGCAGTGGAGCGGGGCGCCGACGAGAGAGTATAGTAAGCAACAGCGAAGTGGTGCTGGTGGGAGGATGGGAATGATGCCAGGGAGGGAGGGTGGTGGTGTGGAGGGTGTAAAGGGTTCAGGGGATGGAGGAGGAGGAGGAGGTGGGGTGGGAGGGTGGAACTCTCCTGGGGGGGGAGTGGCCACCTCTCGAGGAATGCAGCAGCGAGACGGAAGGGGTGGTGGCGGAGTGCATGCTCCTCCTCCTCCTGCTTCCTCTGGGAGTATGACAGGTAGAGAGAGAGAGGCTGCGGACAAGCAAGGGGGCGGCGGGGCGGGGACAACCGGGACAACTACCCCCTTTGGATCTATGAGATGGGTGACCGCTCTCAAAAAGTACGTGGGTTCTACGGACCAATGGCCCACAGCCGCGGAAATGGAGGTGGAGGTGCGCAAGCGGTTGAAGGCCATTCTTGAAGAAAAGCAGCTGCAGAAAGAGGCCAAGTCCTCGTCGATCAACAGCAGCTCCTCGTCGATCCCAAGCTTTTATAAAAGAAAGCCTGCGGAGAATTCCTTGTCCGGTCGAATGGATACCTTGTCCCGACTGAAATTTCTTAAGCGCCAGTCTGAAGAGCTGCTTGACGGGGACGAGCTGGAAGTCTTATGGATGGCGTTGAGGGGGAACACCTCCCCCCCAGTGGATGAGCACACGGACAAGATTAATTATGCGGATTTCAGCCAGGTAGGCAATCTCATGAAAGAGCAAATCGGGCCCAAGGTGCACAAGTTTTTTTCCGCCTCTGTTTTCCTCACCTTTGAGGTGGATGACTACGGTCGAATTGGCATTCTTCCCTTCTATCTCTACATCATGCGCACGGTATCCCTTACCCAGACACGCATCGACATGTGCATGCTTGACGGCGATGGCGATGGCTACTTGAAGGCCCAGGAGATGGAGATGTATATCAGGCAGCTGATTCCTAATCTTGTTCAGTTGCAGGGTATGGAGGCATCCTTTGTGACCGTGTACTGCAGGATAGCAGCACGGAAGTTCTTCTTCTTCAACGATCCCCATCGACGAGGCCGACTGTTGATCAGAGAAGTGCTCCTTAGCCCGGTTCTCGCAGAGCTGATGGAGTTGCGCCAGGAGCAGGAGGCCTCTTCGCAAGAAGACGACCCGCTCTCTCAGAACTGGTTCTCGTTGCGCAGCACCAAGAACCTTTACGCCGCTTTTCTGAGCCTGGATAAGGACATGAATGGCACCCTTAGCAAGGCCGAGCTGTTGGCCTATGGGGACGGCAATTTGACGGACATTTTCATCGAAAGGGTATTTGATGAGCATGTGAAGAGAGGGAGGGGGGAACGAGGGGGCGCCCGTGGGGAAATGGACTTGAACAACTTCCTTGATTTCGTGCTGGCGATTGAGAACAAGCACACTCCGGAGGGCTTGTCGTACATCTTCAGGTGCTTGGACCTTCATGGGAGGGGGTATTTGACAATCTTGGATGTCTATACTCTCTTCAGAGCGGTTCACAGGAAGTGGATTGAATGTGGTCATTACGACCTCTTCGTGGAGGATGTGAAGGATGAGATCTGGGATATGGTGAAGCCGAAGGACCCTCTCAAAATAACTCTGCAGGATTTGCTGGATTGCAAGCAAGGCGACACCGTGGCCGCCATGCTCACCGATGTCAGTGGATTCTGGGCCCATGACAACCGAGAGAATCTGGCACAGCAGGAAGACGAGGAAGAAGAAGAAGAAGAAGAAGAGTAGCTGCTTCCCCCACTATATGTCTATCTGCTGTCTGCGGATTTCCGCAAATCTTGCATTGCACACAGCCCAGTTTTGCTTTCACACACGTGTGTGTGTGTGTGAAAGCTGGCTGGCTCGTTTGTTCTTCCACGTTTTCGTTCGCACACGTGTGTGTGAAAGCTGCCTGCCTCGTCAGTTACAGTATTTCTTGATGATGTCATTGAGACAAAATAAGTTGAAGCACCTATATAGGTTGTTCAACGGAAGCTAAGGGCCTCGCTGCACTACTCTTGAAATGCACAAAAGACAAAAATCATGGCCGTGTATCTGTCCATATTCTAGCGGAAGATTCACTCTCGTTTTGCACATTTTTTGGAGAGTAGTGCAGCGAGGCCCTAAGTCGTGGGGCTCTTACCGGGACCACCATGCACCGTACCCGTGTGCGCTGTGATGGGCAGAGATAGTGGCATGTGAAGGCCCATTTCGAAAAGGTCCAGCCAGTTGGAGCCTCTGAATCTGTAGCATCGGAAGGGGAAAGGCAGCTTTTTTTGGTACAAACAGGCTTGGCCGAACTTGTGGTGGTGGTGGTTAAACTCACCACCACCTGTACTTCCTACAGTCGTGCCGGTTACTGAGCCACGATGTTAGGACACGTACTGGCCACTACAGGAGCGGCCAAATTCATCCGACTAGAAACGTTTCTACTATATTCCCCCCCCTCCCCCCCCCGGGCCCGATAGCTGGGGCAAGTCCTGGTGGTTTAAACCGCCAGTACTACACCTGGGCCTGCCTGGAGCCGGTCCGCTGGGCGCCAAGCTTGTCCGAACGGCCAGCGGCACACGTTTTTCTTTCTTGACTGGTGCCGCCAGGCTATTGTGGTCGGCAGCAGCGAAAGTGGGATAGGAAGGGCGACGAGTTCATTTTGTGCAAGGCAGTGGCAATGTACTACGCGGCTACGGTGGTGCCGATGATGGGATGATGCACCCACCAGATGGCCGAGGATAGTCGCTGTGTGTCCTGTGTGAAGGCCAGTAAGAAAAGACCCACCAGATGGAGGCTCAGGGAAAGTGGGGTGGGGGAGGAGTTCATTTTCTGGAAGGCTGCGGCCATGTACTAGTGTGTGTACTGTGAAGGCCATTAAGAAAAGACCCACCAGATGGAGGCTCGGAAGGAGCGGAAGGTAGCTTTTTTGTACAAACAGGCATGGCCGAACTGGTGGTATAAGTTGATGATTGATGATGGGCAAGGGGCAAGGGGCAAGGGGAGGAAGAGTGTAGGGGTGTAGGGGGTAAAAGCATACTGGTTTGGGCCTGGGGGTGGTAGCGTCCTGCAAAGGCTGCTAAGAAAAGGTCCAGTTGGGAGGCTCTGAAGCGTCGGAAGGCAGCTTCGGACCGGGCGAACTGGTGGTTGAAGTTGATGATGATGGCCAAGGGGAAGAAGAGTGTAAGGAAAGACTGTTGTTACGTGTGCACGCGGGAAGAGCATACTGGTTTGGGCCTGGGCTGGTAGAGTCCTGTGAAGGCCCTACTAAGAAAAAGGGCCAGTCGGAAGCCTCTGAAGCGTGGGAAGGCAGCTTTCGTACCGACAGGTCACGGTAGCACTGGTGGAAAAAGGTGAGGATGATGGCCATGGAAGGGGAAGAAGACTGTACCGGTGTTCCAGGGTAAGAGAGTACTGGTGGTTTGGGCCTGGGGTGGTAGTGCCCTGTGAAGGCCCCACTAAGAAAAAGGCCCAGATTGGGCTTGGGCTGGTAGTGGCCTGGGGTGAAGGCTAGTAACCAAAGCCCCAGTTGCAGGCTCTGAAGCATTCGAAGACAGCTTCATATTCGTATGTACAGGCACGGCCCGAACTGCTGGTTGAAGTCGATGATTGAAGTTGATGATGATGGGCAGGGGGGGGGGAAAGAAGATTAATGCAAAACACAGGCTTGGCCTGCGCCGGTAGTGTGCTGTGAAGGGCACTAAGAAAAGGGGGGAAGAAGATTGAAGCAAAACACAGGCTTGGCCTGGGCCGGTAGTGTGCTGTCACTAAGAAAAGGCCCAGTTGGAGGCTCTGCTGGAGCGTGGGAGCGTAGGTTGGTACAAACAGGCACGGCTGAACTGGTGGTTTAGGCTCACGATGGACAAGGGGAAGAAGATTGAAGCAACACAGGCTTGGCCTGGGCCGGTAGTGTGCTGTGAAGGGCACAAATAAAAGGACCAGTATGAGGCTCTGGAGGGATAGGAAGGGGGCTTCGATGACAACAAATAGGCATGGCTGAACTGGTGGTTTAAGCTGATGATGGACAAAGGGAAGCACACTGAGCCAGCACAACACTTCCGCAGAAGGGGAAAGCATCAGAGGAGAGTCTCTCTCTGCTAATCCAGGGCTTTTCGGATAGACAGGGCATACTCGTATACATTCCTGAACGTATCTGACCTCAATTACGGCCAGATCTGGATGCATCTGGCCGTAATCAAGTCCTTCCAGAGCGGAGTAGAAATGGTCCTGCTACTCTTTTGAGTATGCCCTCGGTCAGGCTGCCTGCACATGCAGGGACACTGAGGTCAGTCGATCCAGGCTGTTGGGATAAGTTGCCCGCTGAGGGCATAATTACCCATCACTCATGGAAGGGGACTCATGGAAGGGGAGGACCGCGCTGATTTGTACCCCTTCAACCTTCCCAAATTCCTCCCCTTCCATGGCCACTGTTGAGATAAGTGGCCCACTGACGCCATAATTACCCATCACTCATGTCAGCAGCCCGCGACGTAGTTTTCGCTGACACACCTCTCAAGTTGGTGTTCGTATTGAGAGAGAATTTGGGCGCATGGGGGAGGAATTTGGGAAGGTTGAAGGGGTACAACAAGAAACGTATGCTGCGCAGAAACAGGAGCAAACAGGGCAAGATGGCGAAGCACGGAGGCGAGAGTGCTAGAGCAGGTCATGAGGAGTCTGCTCTTATGGAAATGGACTTGGGAGTTTGTTCTTATGCAAGTGGGCTTGATTGCGGTCAGATGCGTCAAGGTCTGGCCTTAATTGAAGTCAGATACATTCGTGGACACTGCAAGATGGCGAAGCATGGAGTCGAGTGCTAGAGCAGTTCATGAGGAGTCTGCTCTTATCCAAATGGACTTGATTACGGTCAGATGCGTCAAGCTCTGGCCTTAATTGAAGTCAGATACATTCGTGGACACTGCAAGATGGCGAAGCATGGAGTCGAGTGCTAGAGCAGTTCATGAGGAGTCTGCTCTTATCCAAATGGACTTGATTACGGTCAGATGCGTCAAGCTCTGGCCTTAATTGAAGTCAGATACATTCGTGGACACTGCAAGATGGCGAAGCATGGAGTTGAGTGCTAGAGCAGTTCATGAGGAGTCTGCTCTTATGGAAGTGGACTTGATTACGGTCAGATGCGTCAAGGTCTGCCCGTAATTGAAGTCAGATACATTCGTGGAGAGTCCACTCTTATGCAAATGGGAAGAAGCAGTTCCTGAAGCTTATGAGAATGGATGGACGAATCCTCCAAAGGGGGGTAATTCTCACCCCTCCAAGGCTGTAATTGAAGCCTTTCTTACCTTGACAGTGGGCAGTGGGTGCGTCAAGGGGGTTAATTCTCACCCCTCAAAGGCTGTAATTGAAGCCTTTCTTACCTTGAGAGTGGGCAGTGGGTGCGTCAAGGGGGGTAATTCTCACCCCTCAAAGG